GCTGCAACTCGTCCGCCCTACGCCACCTCCTTGTGCTCCTGCTTGGACTCCTTGATCACCTGGAGGCGGAGGGAGAGGGACCGTCACGCCGCGCTCAGGCTCTCCTCCCCAGCTGAGCCTGCCTGGGCTCTGAACAAGCCTGGGGACAGGGACAGGGGTAGGGACAGGGACAGGGATGGTTTTCTCTAGGAGCTGCCAGGCTCAGCTCCACCACAGTCCAGAACCAGTTCATGCCATGCTCTCAGGGCACTGGGATCACTGGCTCCTGCCTGGGCTGCTCCTGGGGCTGCGGGATGGTGGCCCCATGTGCATGATGAATGACTCCCTTGGGGACAACCCATGGGGAGGCAGGGGTGGAGGGGAGGCAGCGTGGGTGACACAGATGAGGATTTCCTACCTCTCCATCTCTGGTCTCCACAGTTTTGACCACGATGCTCCTCTTCAGATGGGCTTCTGACACGGATTTAGTGTCCAGACTGGTCTCTAGGGGACACGGGCAGGACGTGACAGTGACCCTGGGTACAGCCCTTCGAGCCCCTCTCAAATGGAGGGTCCAAAGGAAACAGCTTGGGCTGGAAAACCCTGAACCATGGGAGACAGTGGCCCTGGGGACGTGACCAGCTTCAGGGACACTGTTGGCCTCAGGGGCATGGTTGGCCTTGGGGATGCAGTTTGCATTGGGGATGTGGCTGGCACTGAGGATGTGGCTGGCTTTGGGATGTGATGAGCCTTGGGGGCACAGTTGGCACTGGGGACTTGTTTGGCCTTGGAGATGTGGTTGGCCATGGGAACATGGGTGGCTTTGGAATGCGATTGGACTTTTGGGGACAGGGTTGTCCTTGGGGACAAAGTTGGCACTGGGGAACACAATTGGCCTTGGAGGTGTGGTTGGCATTGGGGATGTGGTGATATAGTCAGTCTTGGGGACATCATTGGCCTTGGGGGCATGTTCAGCCTTGGGGATCTGGCCATGGCACACTCCTCCCCGTATCTTGAGAGAACCGAGGAGTCCAGGTTCTTTGAGGTTTGGAGGAAAACCTCCTGGTCCCTCTGGATCAGGCAGGGATGGCCAAGATGGCACATCCTCCCACAGAACCCCCAGAAGCCACCCCTGCTTGTACCACCATCCTGCCCACCCTGCCCTACATGTGACCACAACCTCACCTCGGATCTGCAGGTTGGAGAAGTTCTGCACGGGGATGGTGATCCTGCAGGAGTAACAGGGGGCGTTGGGAAGAGCACAGGGGTCCCGCCACCCACTGCCCACCAGCTCCACCCTGCCCAGGGCTGGGGCAGGAGGGCTGGAGAATGGTCCCCAACCGAGCCGGACACCCTAGAGGGACCACAAGGACTTGGGCTTCATTTGGGGCATGGCTGGGGGTGTGGAGAGGGGAAGGATGGAGCCCCCGCTCTGCCGTCACCTGCTCTCCTCGCCCTCCAGCAGCTTGCGGTATGTGGCGATCTCGATGTCGAGGGCCAGCTTGACGTTGAGCAGATCCTGGTACTCCTGCAGGTGCCGGGCCATCTCCTCCTTGAGGCTGCGGATGTCCTCCTCCAGCCGCACCACCATGTCCTGGTAGCCAGCTGTCTCCAGGGCGTAGCGCTCCTCCAGCTCCCGCAGCTGCCTCTCCAGGGACTCGTTCTGGGGGGCCATGAGGGGAGGTGACACCCTCCATGGCCACCTCCTCCCAGGAGCTAGGGGGTCTCCGTGGTGCCCATCCATCTCCCATCCTTGGGGACCAGCCGTTCCCCCAGCACTCCCCCCCCGCCATGCCAGGGAACCCTGTGGTGGTGGCAGCTCCCCAAGGCCATGTCCCCCTGCCTTGCACCCCTCGGCCATCACCTACCGAGCCCCGCAGAGCCTCCAGGTCGCAGGTGAGGGCCTGGAGCTGGCGCCGGTACTCGTTGGCCTCCTGCTTGGCTGCTCGCAGGGCCTCTGCGTGCCGGGCGGCTGCGTCCGTCAGGTCTGCAAACTGCAGGGGGGGGACACGTGCCGTGGGGTGGGACAACACAGCGGGGATCTACCCCGGTGGCACACGGCGTGGGGACATGACACTGCTCTGCTCCTCAGGAGGGACATGGGCCCGGGAGTACGTGGCGTGGAGAAATGTCTCTGATGCTGCAGGGTGGTGGGACAGTGCACATGGGACATACACGTGGTGTGGCAGTGGGGACATGTCCCTGTTCCCGTGGCAGGAAGGGACACCTGGGACATCCCCAAAGGCACGTGTGCCGGGGACATCCCAGCTCCCATGGGAGGGCTGTGGCCCCAGCAGCACGTGTCATGGGGACACATCCCTGCTCCCATGGTAGGAAGGGACAGCACACGCGGGATATGCCTCCAACGGCGTGTGGTGCTGAGGACGCGTTGCTCTTGTGGGCGGAAGGGACAGTGCACGTGGGGCGTGTAGCCGATGGCACGTGTTGTGGAGGCGTATCCCTGCTCCCTTGAGGTGATGGGACAGTGGACGTGGGACACACCCCTCATGGCAGGTCTTGCTGAGGACATGTCCCTGCTTTGCGGGTGGGAGGGCTGGTGCCTTGGGATGTCACAGGGGACATGTCCCTGCTCCCGTGGGACGGTACACGTGGGCCATATCGCTGTGAACACCACTCCTTAGGGACCTTGCCCATGTGACTCACCATGGGGGACACATCCCTGCTCTCCATGGGGACCAAACCAGGACACGGGACAGAAGTGGGGAGAGTGGGGATGCCAAACCCGATGCACCACCACCAAGAACCAAGAACCACCCAACCCTGGGGGGGGTCAACACCAGCCCCAAGAAGGTGACATCCCACGAGGGGACAGGCTCCACCAAGCAGAGCCACCCAAGCCCAGCCCTGAGGTGACATCCCGGGAGGGGACAGCCAGGCCACCCATCCCTTGGGCTCCCACCGCACCTTGGACTTGTACCACTCCTCAGTCTCCTGGACGTTGCTGGCGGCCATGGCCTCGTACTGGCTGCGGATGTCACGCAGGGCGGCCGTCAGGTCCGGCTTGCTCGCGTCCACCTCGATGTGCACCCGCTGCCGGGCCAGCTGCTCCTGCAGCTCCCGCAGCTCCTGGGGGACAGCGGGGCTCAGCCTGGACCCCCCGAGCTCCGTGACCCCCCTCCAGCCCCCTGAGCGGGGTTACCTCCTCGTGGACCTTGCGGAGGAAGGCAATCTCATCCTGCAGGGTCCCCACTCGCCGCTCCAGGTCCAGGCGAGCCAAGGCAGCGGCATCCACGTCCTGTCACCGCGGGGGGACAGGAGGGAGTGTCCCCAGGGCTGGCCACCCGGGGCTGTTCCCTCCTGAGCCACCTGGCCCTGCCCGTTCCTGCACCATCCCTGCTCCATCTCTGCTCTATCCCTTCCCCGTCCTTGCCCCATCTCTGCCCC